TTATGGCAACAAATTGGAAAATCTAGAAAAAACTGATATATTTCTGTGCACACATAATTTACAAAAATAAGGTATATAAACTTAGAAAATCTGAACAGACCAATAACCATGATTGAGATTGAATCAATGATGAAGATCTTCCCAGTGGTAAAGAAAGAAAAGCACAGGATCAGATGGCTTCACGGTTGAAGTCTACCAAGTATTTCATGAAAAGCTAATCCCAATTCTTCTTACACTGTTCAAAACAATTGAAATGGAGGGAAGCCTTCCAAATGCATCCTATGATGCCAGCATTACCTATTCCTAAACCAAAGATACGTCAAAAAAGAGAACTATAGAAAAATAACCCTGATGAACATACATGCAAAAATCTGAAAAAAATAGAAAATTGAATCTAATAAAAAGATCATCCACCCACACTAAGTGGGATTTTCTCAGGGAAAGTCCAAATAAAAACCACAAGGAGGTTTCACCTCACCACAGCTAAAATGGCTATCATCAAAAATTCAAAACACAAGAAATCGGTGAGGATGTGGAGAAAAAGACAACTAATCCACTGTTGGTGGGGACGTAAACTAGTGTAACCATTAAGGAAGACTGTACAGAGATTCCTCAGAAATCTGAAAATAAGTCTACCATATGACCCAGCTATCCCATTCCTAGGAATTTATCCAAGTGAAACAAAATCATGAAAAAATTATTTGAATCCACATGTTTATTGCAGCTCAGTTAATAATAGCTAAGACATGGAATCCACCAGGTATCCATCAACTGATGACTCAATAAAGATAATGAGGTATATATAAACTATGGAATACTATTCAGCCATAAAAAAGAATAAAATCCTGGGGCTGGCACTGTGGCACAGTGGGTTAACACCTGGCCTGAGGTGCCAGCATCCCATATGGGCACCGGTTCAAGACCCGGCTGCGCCACTTCTGATCCAGCTCTCTGTTATGGCCTGAGAAAGCAGTAGAAGATGGCTCAAGTGGTTGGGCCCCTTCACCCACGTGGGAGGCCTGGAAGAAGCTCCTGGCTCCTGGCTTCGGATTGGCAGAGATTCAGCCATTGCAGCCAATTGGGGAGTGAACCACTGGATGGAAGACCTCTCTCTCTCTCTCTCTCTCTCTCTCTCTGCCTCTCCTTCTCTCTGTGTGTAACTCTGACTTCCAAATAAATAAATAAATCTTAAAAACAAACAAAAAAAATTTCTATTCTTAAAAAAAAAGAAAAAGAATTAAATCCTATCTTTATCTTTTGGCCGGCTCCGTGGCTCACTTGGCTAATCCTCCGCCAGCGACGCCGGCACCCCAGGTTCTAGTCCTGGTTGGGGCGCCGGATTCTGTCCTGGTTGCTCCTCTTCCAGTCCAGCTCTCTGCTGTGGCCCGGGAGGGCAGTGGAGAATGGCCCAAGCGCTTGGGCCCTGCTCCTACATGGGAGACCAAGAGGAAGCACCTGGCTCCTGGCTTCGGATCAGCGCAGTGGGCCGGCCACAGCACACTGGCTGTAGCGGCCATTTGGGGAGTGAACCAACAGAAGGAAGACCTTTCTCTCTGTCTCTCTCTCACTGTTTAGCTCTGCCTGTCAAAAAAAAAAGAAAGAAAGAAAGAAATCCTATCTTTTGCAACAAAATGGATTCAACTGGAAACAATTATGCTAAGTGAAATAAGCCAGTCTCAAAAAGACAAATATGTTTTCTCTCTTTTGTGGTAGTTAATATAGAATACAAAAAATGTATAGGAATGAAACAGATATTTTGTGATATGATTGTCATTTTTAGCCCTTATACTCCTGTGAAACTATTGTGTTTCTACTTTTAATTGTTGAATATTATGGTTAGTGGGAACTAATCCTATGAATAGAGAGTGGATTAAAATTATGCAATTTTTTTTCTTTGCAAAAACTGATGAAAGGAAGAGAAGGAAGAGAGGGAGGGTTTTGGGCAGGGATGAGAGGGAAAGAAGTGTGGTTGTCTTCTTGGAATTCTATGGAATGCATGAAACCTGCACTCTTTAATAAAAAAAAAAATTTTTAAATATAAAAAATTACTAACAAAATAAAATGCGGAAAATTCTCAAATAATAATGTTATAAAATAATACTGGACTTCTTGAGTCTAAAATCTAATTGGGAGTTTAAATTGAAAGTTTTAAATATAGCATGAATTATAGATTGCTGTTGAGATTTATGAAAAAAAAATAGTGGACTCAACTTTTATCTTTCATTCTAGTACTGATGCAGGATTATTCCTCTATTTGGGATCCCTTTCATCACCATCTAGGAGTCCTCTTTGAAGGAAAATATTTCCTAGGCATCACCAATCACTTTCCTCCTCCATTTTATCCCTGATCCTTTCAATAAACTGGATTTTAGACATATTTTTCAAATTGTTGCTATTGATGCAAGATTATCATGTCAACTGAAAGTTCAAAGGGATATTTTAAATAGCATCTAAATTAAACTCCTAATGGACAGCTAAGTGTTTTCACTATAAGGAGAAATGCATCTTCTATCAGAAGACTCTAGTCATTTACACCACCAAATATTTATTATATACATATTCTCCTAAACACCATGTCATATTCTGCCTTGAGCAATCTTGTGATCTATTAGGTAGACGTTGTTAGGTAGACAAGCACATAAATAAGCTCGATTACATAGAAAATGTTACAAATGCAGTGATTAATGCAGGAAAGACTACAATGATTCAAACAAGGGAGTTGTTAGATGTAATTTGAGTTCTTAGAAATGCTTATTATAAAGCAATGGTTCTCAACTTAGGACTGCTCTTTAGTATCACCCTTAAGCTTTAAGCTCACCCTGTGAGCAGACTTCACCCAAGACCTAGTAAATCAGATAGTAGCCTGAGCACCAGGATTTTTTAAAGCTCACTGGGTGATTCCAATGTGCAGTCAAGTTTGAGTACTATTGTTGGAAAGGATGAGAGTGAAGAAGGAATATGTAGAACTGAACAATGGGTAATTTTCAAATGAAAGGGGTGAGATACTAGGGCATTTTGCAGAGTTATTTTTGTTCTTCAAGATTCATACCAAGTATAACATTCTCTGAAAAGCTTTACTGAATATCACAGAAATAGTTTGAACAATCTTAATAATGGCAATAAAAGCTGGCACTTTTTTTGGCTATATGCCAAATAGCATTCTAAACTCTTTAACTATATTTCAATAGTTATTCTTCCCAATAACACAAGGATAGTGAAAACTGAAATACAATAATTCCAAAATCCAAACCAGTATCTGATTATCTGATGCTATTTAAGTCTCCTATAGAACTCAAGAAAACTTTAAATATATTAAGAAACATATTATAAATTATTATAAGATGCACTTTTTTTAAGATTTATTTTTTTATTTATTTGAAAGAGTTACAGAGAGAGGTAGAGACAGACAGAGAGAGGTCTTCCTTCCGCTGGTTCATTCCCCAAATGGCCATAAGAGCTAGAGCTGGACAGCTCTGAAGCCAGGAGCCAGAAGCTTCTCCTGGGTTTCCCGTGTGGATGCAGGAGCCAAGGACTTGGGCCATCCTCTGCTGCTTTCCCAGCAGCATTAGCAGGGAGCTGGATCAGAAGTGGAGCAGCCGGGATTCAAATGGAGTACCCATATGGTATATATAGGCCAGGGCCTTAACCTGCTGCACCGCAGTGCCAGCCCCATCAGTGCCGGCCCCATCAGATGTTCTCTTCTACTACCCATTATCCATTCAATAAATAATTATTAAGCACATTGTCTATGCTGAAACATACTTATTACTAGAAATACAAAGTTTCATATATAATATTTGATCTACCAAGGAATTTGTGTCCAGGCAGAGCTCAAAATCTACATTTGACAGGACAAATCCTGCTGGCCACTGCTTTTCTAAATAAAGTTTTGTTAAGCCCTGGTCGTGTTATTTGGTTTCTGCATTATTTACAGTTGCTTTCATGCTGCAGCATCAGAGTAGAGTAGTTGTAACAGAGTCCATTTGGCTGCAAAGCCCAAAATATTTACTAATTGGCCCTTTATAGAAAAAGTTGGCCAATCTCTGATCTATAGAATAAGACAAACAAGGAAAAAGTTAATGACTATCCAATCAGGTTCATTCTTAGTGCCAAAGACACTGTGGTAACACAAAAGAGAGATATCTAGATTAGAATAGAAGGTCAGCAAAAATTTTCTCGATGGCATGATATCTGAGCTGATTCTGAAACTCTGAGTGGAGGTAATGAGACAAAAAGAGGTAAGACGTTTCATTAAGACCAGTAGGAACATTAAATTATCCAGGGAACTGCAGTAATAGCAAATGGAAAGCAAAGAGTAGACATGTTTTAGTGATGTTAACTAGTTCTGTGCCTTCAATTTGTTGATTCTCACTACTCAGCATATAGTTGGAACTCACCACATATTTTATTGACCAAAACTTTAACTCTTAATTGAAAGACTTTTTTTTTTTGACAGGCAGAGTGGACAGTGAGAGAGAGAGACACAGAGAAAGGTCTTCCTTTGCCGTTGGTTCACCCTCCAATGGCCGCCGCGGCTGGCGCGCTGCGGCCAGCGCACCGCGCTGATCTGATGGCAGGAGCCAGGAGCCAGGTGCTTTTCCTGGTCTCCCAAGGGGTGCAGGGCCCAAGCACCTGGGCCATCCTCCACTGCACTCCCTGGCCACAGCAGAGAGCTGGCCTGGAAGAGGGGCAACCGGAACAGAATCCGGCGCCCCAACCGGGACTAGAACCCGGTGTGCCGGCGCCGCTAGGCGGAGGATTAGCCTAGTGAGCCGCGGTGCCGGCCTGAAAGACATTTATTTTAAAACCTAGATAATATTCACCTTCTTTTAGTCCTTAAGATGACTGAACCATAAGCATTCTGGGGTTTTGTTATTGTTGTTCACCTCCTGTCCTGGAGTAGAAATAAAAAGCCTCACTTTTTCATTGTTTTCAGTTGTAGAGGTATATATAACGACTAACAGCATAGTTTCATTAGTGAGAGGCAGTGGCAACTGTACCTGGAAAATTCATAGGCAATTCAAATGGTTGTGGGGGCTCACAATCTTCAATGTGTTCACAGATTTCAGCTATGATCTTCTTAATGTTGAGACCAATAATTTTAATCACTTCTCCTGTTGACAAACAGCATTCATTTCCAAACATTTCATAAATGGAGCCTGGAAAGAAAGAAAAGTAAAAGTCACTTTAGAAAAAGAATTACACAGTGAAGGGCAAAAGAGGAGTCAAAAGCCTCATACAAAGTGTTTGTACTCAGTCTCTCCCTTAGCTTCCTACTAAAGAGGAATTTAATCAAGTCTGATAAAACATTCAGCATATACCAGAAAAAAAAATGTTAGATTTTCACTTCATCCACTGGGCAAAGTACAAGCACTTTTCTTTATTATTGTAAATTGAGTTTATATTTCTTCAGCACCCTTAGCTCATCTCTCCAAGGTCAGCCTGCAAACATGTCTTCTGCTGCTCGAATTTATGATCTGTTTTTGCTGGGTCACAGAATTAGGCTCATACACGCGAATGCTCTAAGTAAGTATGCAAACAGCATTGTGAGACGATCCAAAATCCGAAGACTGCACACAGAAATCTGATTGTTCAACTGACCTGGTTCTCTTCGCTATCATGAATATAGGACTTTTTGCCCACATTCATCTTGTGGTGTTTGATAAACTGGGAGCAAATCCTGGTATCTTTACAGCAATAGAGGGCAGTCCAAGCCAGATAAATGGACACTTCATTTTTGTTCAGGATTTCAGTCTCTTTCTTGACAAACTTTTTATCATCGATGCTGAAGCTACACTTTCATTCATTAAATTTCCTTTTCTGGCTGGCGCCGCGGCTCACTAGGCTAATCCTCCACCTGCGGCACCAGCACCCCAGGTTCTAGTCCCGGTTGGGGCGCCGGATTCTGTCCTGGTTGCCCCTCTTCCAGGCCAGCTCTCTGCTGTGCCCTGGGAGTGCAGTGGAGGATGGCCCAAGTGCTTGGGCCCTGCACCCGCATGGGAGACCAGGAGGAAGCACCTGGCTCCTGGCTTTGGATCGGCACAGCGCCAGCCATAGCAGCCACTTGGGGAGTGAACCAACGGAAGGAAGACCTTTCTCTCTCTCTCTCTGTCTCACTGTCTAACTCTGCCTGTCAAAAAAAATAACAAATAAATAAATAAAAATTCCTTTTCTATCCTCAGCCAGACAGAGAGTGAGCAGTGAAATAACCAGATGACAACAGGAACGAGAAGAAGCAAAGGTAGAGATAATCTGCTCCCTATGAAGAGGGACCAACTCGGGACTCCATCTTTGACATATTATTTCTTTACAATTGAACAGTCAACTAAAGACTGATATACACAAACTCTGAGAATACTGGACTTTTTTTGAGGAGTTAATTTTTACTTACCTCCAAAATTATTTGTTTCCTCTTTTACCACACTAAATGTAAACTGTATGAGCCCAGGGTTCTAGGGGGACATTCTAATTAGAATAATTTGAAACCTTTAACATACAGGCAATTTTCCAAGTGGCACAGCCAGTTCTAGGCAACCATCCCGCTCCTCCTCCCAAAAAATAAGATAAAATTCCTGACTTCATTTTTCTCCCAGGGCTGAAGTAACCTATGATCCACAACCCACCAGAAGCTAGAGGACAAGGAAGACGCTGGCGCCCTGTGGGAGTCAGCCTTGGGGGCAGAGCGGAAATGGAAAGTCCGTGCCCTAATATTGACGTCCTCTGTTCAGTGAGGTGCACTTTTGCAGACACACTAATCTGTTCCTCGGGCTGGGTGAACACTTTCACAATTCCCTCCTTTTCCCAAACCATTCCCTTAACTGTGTATGAGCCTGTGCTTACACTTTCATTAACTCTAATACACGGAGTTATCAGCAGGTTCAAATAGTTTGTAGAACAAATTAAGATATTAAAAATTGATTTTAAAAAATCCACAGAGCCATTTTCCTCCAGTGGATTCAGCATAGCTATCTGCTATGATCCTCATTCGGCAATTAATCACACACAACATTTTATATCTTCAGTATTATCTCACCCTGTACTTAACTTTTTATGAATATAGTTTTTATTACTCCCAATTGAATTTTAACTTTATGAGACAAAATATTACACCATATTTTTACATGACAAGAAGTCAACTTCCCCTCTTCAATCAGTCAGTAAACTTTAATAAAATGCTACTAATGTATCAGGCATTGGGATTGGCAGTAAGGTATTAGAAATAAAATGCATAATCTCTTCCCCCTCTCCAAAGATTGGACAAGTAGGCAGACAGTTGCAAGAGATTATGAAGAAGCTATAATATAGGAACTACAGGGCATTGTGGGAGCATATCAGAGACATTTCATCAAGCAATTACATGGCAAAGGGATTAGGGAAGGATTCCTGGAGGAGACCACAGCGGAACTGAACTTTAAAGGTAAAGGAAGTGTTACAAGATACAAGGGCAGGCAGAGAGAATAATATTTGATAAAGTATCAAGATGTGAAAGAGCCTGATATATTCCAGAAACTTCAAGCAGTTTGCTGTATCAAAAATGTAAACTGAAGGGCAGGCATATGGCACGGCAGTTAAGCTGCCACTTGGGATGTCCACATCCCATATTGGAGAACCTGGTTTGTGTCCCTGTGTCTTTGCTTCCAATCCAGATTCCTGCTAAATGTGCACCCTAGGAGGTAGCAGATGATGGCTCAAGTATTTGGGCCCTTGCCACCTACATAGCAGAACCAGATGAAGTTGTGGGCCCCTCACTTTGGCCTGACCCCATCCTGATCATCTCTATACATATGGGGAGTTAACTAGCAGTTAGAATAACAAACTGCTCATCTCCTTTTCAAATAAAAGTAAATGAATAAAATTTAAATATATTATATATACATAATGTAAATAAGAAAGGACAAACATGAAAAAGGGATAGCCTACATTTCTGGTTACCCGGGCTCCAGGAACAAACACTAATTTAATGAGAGGTCCATGGTACTCTAGATATTTGTTACCCAAAGTATGGTCTAGTGCATCACCTGGGAGCTTGTTATCATCTTGGCCAGACCCCAGACCTGGTGAATTATAACCTGCATTTTTAACAAGATCCCCAGATGATTTATAAGCACATAAAGTTTATAAAGCTTTGCTTTTGGCAATAAATGTGCAATTGAAATAGCCTCTGTTTTTAGATTGTTGTAAAAACTAACTAGAGAATGAGAACAGGTCACGCAGAGGAAGCAGCCTGGGTCATTGAGGTGGAGGATACTCTAAGCGGGGACAGAGAAAGGGAAAGGTTGTTAGTAGGGAAGTGACATAGAAAGATTTTCTGTGTCACATGAAATGGAACATAATTTAACCTAGCCTACCTGAGCTGATGCCTGTTGGGCTTAATTTCAATGCAAAGAGTGTTTAATTGTACTCAAAGATGTAAGGTATATCAAACTGGCCAACCGGGAATGGCATCCTGCTTTCAAAGGTTCACTTGAAATTCAAAATGAAAAGATGAACTTGTGTGAGATTACATATCAATTGACAGGGACTAGAAGCCAGGGGATTCTCTGCGGAGAGCATTCTGTAAATTTTAGTCACCGCACGAAAAGCTTTTGACTCTTCAGGTCTCTTGCCAAGCATCTCTCTCCTTTTAAAAAATAAATAAATAAAAAGAAATTCATTTCTTTTGGCCCATAAGGAAAAGGACCTGATACACATAATAATCTTTAGTATTTCTCTTTAATATTTTGTGACTTTCAATTTTTTGTAACCAAGAGGGCTGTTAATTCACTTTTAATAAAGAGAGTATTCACAGGCACCCAGCACTAGAAACTTCAGTCCTTGCTAAGTCACAGCACATGGAGCAAATCTCAAAGCCTTGAAACTGGAAAGCTGATTGTACCTTATAACCACCAAAATAATGCCTCTTATAATTTATGTTTTCCTTAGGGGTGATGCAAAATGGTAAATTTTTTAAAAGCCAACTTTCATAATCTCAGAACAAATACATATAATAATTACCATTGCTTTTTAAAATTTTTCTGAGATATATATCTGAAATATGTTTATGTATATATAGTCATACATATTAAAATAGATTTCATTTCATTTTAACCACAAGACTTGGATTTTGAATATGCGAGTCTCGAATCTATTAAATCTTTACTGACTGATTCTTTCCAAGTCAGAGCATATGTATTCAGGATAATGCCAAACATCAGAGAAAGATGGAACAAAGCAGCCTGTTTTCAGTGATCAAACATCATCCCTGAAGGCTGTAATGAAAGAGCCATGTGCCTTTGAAATCACCTTTTCTATAATGCTACTTTGCTCAATAAAAATGACACATTAATATCCTTTTATGAGCTCATCCCTTGTTTGACAATCCATATAAGCAATGCTGTGATCACATAAGAACAGCCAAAACAATTGGTTCAATAGATTTTCTTCCATCTTCTCTACAAAGTTAAAAATGTGTGGCAGTCAGAAAAGGGGGAAGTACATTGTTTGGAGGTTTTCTCCCCTCAACACAAATGCATCCCTTTACCTCCTCACCAATCTATCAAAATTCCAGCCAAACCTAAAGACTCAGCTTGCATCACCTTTAAAAATTTCCTTGATGCCACACCTAAATAAGAAGTAATTCATTCCTCCATATTGTAATAGCGCTTTCTATGTCTCCTCATAAGAGCTCTAATGGAGACACAAAGAGCTAATAGACTATTATCTATTGACCACTGATACTATGTACATTTTGATATTCATTATCAGTTTTCAGAGTAGTTATCTTATTTATATTTACACTTTTGTATACCCATAGCATAAAAGTTTTGTACTTACTAGATCCTTAGGGGATGTTGAGTCATAACTTACCTTCATCATAAAATTATAATAAATTATTTTTAATATAATGGTAGTCTTGTATATTAGAAATGTCAAGCATGGTCAACTCAAGGTTTTAGCATGAGTTATATCTTCAGTTGGTATTTTTGACAGCAAATATAGAGGCATATGCTATATTAGGAGGCCACTTCTAGAAGTATTACCATATGATCTCTCTACTCTTTGAATATGGAGTTCTTCATGTGAAGTGGAGGTGTGAGCCCAAAGATGGAAATATGACAGTGCTGTAGCGAATGCTGGTGAGTCTTAACATATCTGAACATGGATGGAAAAGCAATAAAAG